GAGAATAAATGCACCTCAAGCAGGATATTTATTTCCACAAAGCAAAAAACCTGCAAAAGGGCAATTACAATAGGACGATGCATTGGCTGTATGCGGAGGAGCCATTTCCAAACACTAAGAAAAATACAGTGCAATTATTTTCATATTGCATATTTATAACTTCCTGTAGATTCCCTTGCTGTGTTTCCCTCTCTCTGTTAGACATCTATCTAAATAGAAGCTCTCTAATTAATGTGTCTGGCGGCCTTATTATTCTTTGAGGGTGATATTTTCCTTTGATCAAAGGCAGAGAAGGTCAATTTTAACAGAGACCCATGGGAAAGAGGAGGACAAACAGAGACCGGGTTTGTGTGTGTGTGAGATCACCTGTGAATATGCCCAATGCTAAAACGAGTTGAACATGTTACATGTAATGAAGTGCAGTTTATATGCATGACAGAATTACTTATACTAAACCACTGACCTTTACATTAGCTCAAAAAAGCTAGCATTAATTAAAAAATAATGTTTTAAAAAAACTCTTAAGGAATGATAGTATTTTAAATCTCAGGGAGACTATCTAAACACTAACTAAACGAGATGAAGCTGAATTTCTTAAAGGTCCATGAAACATAATCTCTATGAATGTAGATTAGTAGATATAGGTTATATGAATAAAAAGTATTGATTGTTTTAATGTAAGTCAATGTTTTGTAAAAAAGCAAAGAAAATAATTGCAAGATTAATATGCTTGAATGGCAATAATACATGGCATAGCTTCTGTATAATTTCAAAGATTGATATAATAATCAAATAACATGTTTATTAATGTCTTTGTCAAGACCTGCTCTTATAATGTGTTTTTAAAATGCAGGAAACTGTGTAGTTTAAGTCTGAGTCATTTAGAACAGCAACTGAATTATGCTTCCACTCTTTTGCTCCGCCAAATGATGTGACTAAACTCATATTTCTAATATGATTGATATCATGCCGACTTCACATTGTGTCTATAAGTGGGAGTTTCCTATTTTCCTACATCCTTCATTTACCATTTGATAAGAAAGCACCTCACTGTGTCAAGAATGAAAATGAGTTTTTAATAAAGTTGTATATAGGTTTAGTGTTTTCTTTTTGATAAGTGTTTTGTTTTGTTTTTTTGTATTTAAACCAACGAGTGAAAAAAAGGTTATTCTTACACTGATCCTAAATGTCTGGTTAAGGTGTAATTAAAATGACAACCTAAAATCACAAAAAGTAAGGTATTTAAATTAAATAAAAATGAATAAAACGGAACAAAGTTGTATTAAATTAAATGAGGCCTTGCAGGCGGACCATCCAGGTTGTACCTTGCCTTTCGCCCATTGAATACTGGGATAGGTTGCAGTCCCCCCCGCAACTTAATTTGGCAGTAAGTGGTGGATGGATGGATGGATGGATGGATGGATGGATGGATGGATGGATGGATGGATGGATGGATGGATGGATG